TTCCTGTTACAAACAGAGATAGAGAGATACCATAGGGTAGGTATAAAAATTTGTTACCAGCTAGCAGTATCTTTGGATCATACATGAAGGGTGTTCCACTCCAGATAACTCAGCTGACTTGCTTTTTTTTTTCATTCAGTCATAAAAAAAAAAATTGCCAATATTTGAATCACTATTGTGCTAACCTTACTTAGCATCTTATGCAATCGTTCCTAACCTCACCCAAGCTTCTGCTGTCATATTGAGCATCAAACCAGTAAGTCATTTCTCTTCCTGCCCTCCAGCAATAAAACCACTACTGCAGGTGCTAAAATCAGGGCTGCAAATGAGGAGCAGGTGAGCTGGCAAACGCTGGCACTTTGGACAGGTGGAGAGTATCATTTGCCCTACTTGAGCTTGCAAACTGGTCAGCAAGCGATCCATTTGCACACTTTCAGGGGAGCTACTTGACTATCACTAGGAAAATTACATAGTTGCAGCAGAAGAAGAAATAATAGAAGAAAACGGGAAATGCACAGGATCATTGGCATATTGGCCCCAAATTGCTTGCAATGTCCATTTTGCATCCCTATAACTTAGAAGAATGGTATCCCTCTATCTCTATAGACTGGTAGGTGTTGGTTTGTGGCACGGAGGATAAATCACAGAAAGAAAATGACATATAACTGTGTGTGCTTTGTCTGATTTGAAAGCACCAGTCACCTATCTGCTTATTTTGGCAGAAGTACTCTACTGTATCTTAAACATAGCTTGCAATATGGACATTAAGCTTCATCTTGCTTTACATGGAATCTCCAAGGGAATCGGAGTCATCCAAAGACAGAGGCAGATACAAGTCCTGTAGGAAGAAAGAAGAAAATGTTAACTCACACACTCAGTTTCCACCCTTGGTCATGCGTAGGAAGGTCCAGTTCCACGCTGTTCATCAGGACAGGGTGGAAGCCTTGTGCACTGGCTACTGGACAGGCTGACCAGTTGTCCGGGTAGTTCAAGGCTAAAATCAAGGCAGGTTACTTGCACAGTGGAGCAAGAGACTCTGGGTACCAGAATAAACATGACTGTTCAGTGATAAGTTCGAGAAGTACTTTTTTATCATGGCTGGATCGATGTGTCCATTATAGCACATGCATGAAAGAGCATCACTCCTTAAACGGGTCTCTCTGAACCTAAGTCCACAATAAGGAGTCTTACCTTCATTTGAGGGCTACCTTTAGGACAAATCTCTAGGAAAATAACATGTTCCACAGTTTAGTCTTTATTTTAAGTAATTTCTGATCGATTAGAAAGGTTAAGAAAATAATCCCAAGTTTACTACTTGCATCAAACGCTGAATGCAAAGCTTTTCCAGGGTCCCTTTCTGGGGTAACCGTCTTATTCCACTTCCTTAAAGTTCCGCATGGAACAAGGTACACAAACTGGCTCAAGGGCTAAAGCCCTCCCTGGACCTTTTTGAACTCTGACCCACGCACAGGTAATAACTGTGAGCAAAATGAAGAAAAGCCCAAATACACAGAAAGGAAATTCACAACAATCTTGATAAGGTAAAACAGGACTTTGTGGTGAACTCAACCTAAGCTCATTTGAGCTTTAAGGGAAAAAAAGAAAAGTGATTTAATCGCAATCAGGAAATTGCTCCTGGGAGAAAGACAATGATGCATGAATATTCTGGTAACCTAAAATGCTACATTCGTGTTTGCTGCTTGGCTTAAGTTAGTGGAGAAGCTCGTAGATGGATTGGCTTTGCCCTGAGCAGTCACCATCTACTGCAGATGTTCTAGGGGCTTCACTGGGAGGGTCATAAATCAGCCAGCTGAAAACACACAGAAAACATTAAAGCAGGTGAGTTTTACTTGTGTTTACCAGGAGGCAAATCCGCATCTCCAAAGTCCTAAATGAGACTGAGTGTTTGGAAAAGTATTTTAAGCATGTGATGCCTAAAGCAAAGGACGCAGTTTACAGCATTACTTTTGCTGAAATACACACAAGTAATTGTTGAATTCAGACTATGGGCCAGATCCTGTTCTCAGTTATAAATTAATAATAAATGTGGACCCTTTGTGTTAAAACTGATGCATTTCCTCAGACTTAGACTGAGCAGCTGAGATGAGTGAAGTCCTGAGATAGATTTCATTTGGATTCATTTCATTCATTCATTTCAGCTATGCCTTTGTTAAAGAAAGTCAAATAAAGCTGAGTAACTACAGCCTCTCTGTATGTTGGGAATATTTTCAAGCTCTGATTTTTGAGAGGACAAAAGTCCACCTCAGGCTCCCCCAGTACCCCTCAACCCTATGTCCAAAGGTCTGCGATCCAAAATCTTACACGTTAGAGGTGTAATCCAAAGCCCATTGGACTTTTGGGGATTCTCCCCCCTGATGTCCCTGTGCTTTGTTTCACCATCATAACAACAGCTGCTGCTACCACTCCTCACTTGGAGGAAAAACATAATCCTCAAGCAAAATGAGTTCAACCTGTGCAATGTAGACCCAAGTGGATAACACATGGCTGGCTGACTGCAAAACCTCACCACTATCAGAATTTTTAAATTCCTCTTCCAATCGGTGCTTTCAAAGTCATACTCAGGCTGAGAGGTACGTTCTGATTACTAAAGCGAAGTCCCACTGACCTCCTCTCACACTCGCATTTATGTCCAAGTTCCAGTTTCTGTATCAAGTAAAGACTGTTGGAAGCAACACTGTGGCTATTGCAGAAATGAGAAAGCCCACGGAAAGGACAACTCAGACTCAGCACAGAATGGCACTGAATAGCAGGAACATAGAAAGCTGTGACTGCTGCTATACCTTTTAAGTAAATCAGTACGTGAATTATCCATGGGCCAGCACAGGTTTACTGATCTCTACTAGAAAGCTGTGTTCTACACGGTGTTTGTTACCAGGAAAAACACCTACCATACCATAACACAATTACTACACCAGCTGCAAAAAATCAGAGCATGGCCTTAAATAATTTTAAAAAAAGTCTTTGAGAAGCATCATTAAAGTGATATCTTAGAGGTTCAGTAACATTTGCATTTCTTCTGCTGTTTAATGGACCAGATTTGCCAACACTTAAGGCTTTTCAAGAGAGGAGGGTTTATATGGAGATTGTATCCATCAATAACTTGTGAACTTTTTCAAATAGTCATACAAGCTCAGGGTTAAGTTATCTCTTCTGGTCCATATGCATGATCTCCAGCACACATTAATAACTCCAGTGGAAGAAACAGGCCACTGATGTGTTGTTCACCATCTTGCTACAACTTGCTTTTAGGTAATGGGCCAAATTCTCCACTGTTTCAACAGAAGGAGTTGTGCTTCCAGAGAATATGGCCATGACTTAAAGGTTGTACACATCTGAGTAGACTAAGGAAGAAACAGATATAGTAAGGTATAAGAAACATAATACCTTGTGCTTACGGAGGCTCCCTGGGCTGGTAGGTGTGGAGATCGGGGACTGCTTTGATTTGGGGGTAGACAGCTGACTGCTTGAAGTCCCATTTGCTGTCAGAAAACAAGACAGAAGCTAGCAGTCAGGCAAGGAAGAGGAAGATCTTCTTTCTCCTCTGGGGAGATGGAAGGTATCCAGACATCTAACACAGAAACGCTCTAGTTTATTCATGTTAGGCAGCAGAAAAAAACGAAGCGAACAGCATGGCTATTCACCCAACTTAAGGCTTTCAGCTGTTCAGGATACTAGGCTGTAAAATACAGTGAAATACAACATATACTGAAGGAGCAATACTTTACATGATAAATATTCACCAAATTGATCCAAGATATACACCACCAGAAAAACAGAAAGACATTCTATGTTCTCAGTTCAATACAGCTGAAACCACATAGCATTTAAGGGCACGAGTGGAAGCCAGAGGCTGCAGATATCCTGGATCCTGCACAAGAAATGTTACATGTCAAATATACACATTACAAATGAGAGAAACAGCTGCCTGGAATGCCCTGGATGTAGTTAGCTGTGGCTGGGGTGACCAGAAGAGCCCTTCCGAAGCCCTGGTGTAGGCACAGGGTGCATGTCCCTGCTCAGCGCCCCGGGGAGAGGCCAGAGCTGGCTCCGCTGCTTCTCCACCACCCGCACCAGAGAAATGAACATGCTCCATCAGGGGAAGGAACAGGAGAATCCTCTTGCAAAGATCAAAATCTGGCCTTTTGGGTTGCTTTGTTCGTTCATGTTGCTTTGAAGAAAACATAGTTATTCTCCATTTTAAAAAATATGATTCCTTTAAACCAAATGGCTTTTGGAAGGGTTGTTCATTGAGGCCTTCACAGACCTGGCTGTTAGTTAAAGTGAAAGGCCACAGGTCTAGGTCAGGGCAAGTTATTATGCATTTATTGGACTTAAATGGAATCAAAGTAAATAGCATATTATGCAGAAAAAATGAAGGGAAACAATCAAATAAGGATAAATTAATTTTTTCCTACCACTGATGTTCTCTGAAGTAAGTGAATGTCTTTCATAATTGCCAGGTGTCACAATATGCATTCCATAAGGACATACTTACTCATAGCCAATGTGGTCATTCATATGTTGAGTATCAACTCCAGGGATACAGACCCCTTGTTACCAGGGGTTGTAAACACATAGGTCCGTCAGCACAAGCAGCATTACTTGAGGGAAGGAAATTCAAACTCATGCTGGCTGTGTCCTAGTATATTATCTTTTCTGGCCTTTTCTTTTTGCAGTCTAAGCAGCAGCAAGCTGGAGGCCTTATGAGCATTAAACTACGTATCCCAGTCAAGCCTACAGAAAGTGACTTTTCCAAAACCTACTCCAGATGTTAACATATTCAGCACAAGCCACAAAACTAAACCCCAAATATTCTGATTGTCATTTCTTTAAACGGCAACAGTGCTGCCAGCCCTCCAGATAACTACACAAATCCCTACCCCTTTTAAGGAAATCATTTTTATTTGTTTTGATGTTTCACCCAGAGAAAGACAAGCATATAATGATCCAGGCTTGTTGTCCTGCTCTCTAAGTGCCCAATATCTCTCTATACCATTACTCTAACTGTAAAGGCACGCGCCCAGCAGGATGGGAGATTTCAGCATATGGGACTTTTGCTTTCAGTTGCAATAGCTGAATATGCAAATCATTTACTTAAATTAAGTAGTTGAGTGTCTGGAGGAGACCTAAGAAGTGTATAAAGTATCATACAGTAAGAAGAAGGTGTGCAAGTGTTGTATTTTTAAGAGCAAAATCATTGCAACTCTTACTTTAATGCCCAAGACAGCCTCATTCCTCTGTTATCTTGGGAGAAAGAGGGGGCCAGTTAAGGTCTGTAGTATCACTGGCCTAAATGCAGAGGTCATATATGTGGATTCAGGTAAGTGTAAAGAAACATGTGCTGTAAGGCACAGGACAAAGGAGGAGCTGTCGGCATGGTAGAGCCGCCCAGACGCACGGATGCGTGGTGATGTGGGCCCTCTGTCTTCATACCCATCGCTTCTCTGCAGAAGGCACTGATGGGAAGAGGAGGTTGTTCACCACGGAGAGCTTTTTTCCCATTACGAATGCACCTCACTGAGGAAATAGATAGTTCTTAAACGGTGAGAGAAATAATGATTTATAGATAATTGGGGAACAGAGCGACCCTTCACCTCCCCATTCCATTCAGACCATTCTTTATTGGTGGGGGGACAAAACTACTTACGGAAACCCAGAAACCGCTACACACCGGTCCCCGCACTGCGACAGGCTGCTTTTCACTTTGCTCCAGTTCTACAAAGTGAGCTGCCCTCGAGGTTAGTGGGGAAAAAAGATAGAGTTCACTAACTATATGCCATATAATGAAGTCAATTCACAAAAAAAGAACTTGGATCTCTTTTTTTTTTTTTTACCAAGTGACTTTGGGATTTCTATTAAAGAAAATGTGGGGTACAATAGTACTAATATGATCTATATTAGCTAGAATCCATCTCTAATTTCTAAAATCCCTCTTTCCTTCTTTATTTCCAGTTGTCACCGATCCTGAGGAAGGAATTAATCCTTCCTCAGATGAAGAATGCTGCTTAACAACTCTACAAAGCACCCAAATTTCTCTTGCACAAGCAGGAAGACTGAAAGAATGGTGAACAGTCGGTGTGCAGCAAATAGATGTAATTGCTGCAGGGAAGGACATAAATTCCCTAATACAATGTGACTTTTAAGTGCTACAGCAGGGATGTTAATATTTAATAAGCACCAATGAAAAAACACATGTGACATCCAAATCAGAAATCCAGTGAGACGGGTGTATATCATTACTAATACTCACAAAGAGTTTTGCAGCAGGAGCAACAATTAAGAAGACCAGTTTAATTTTCTTTGTGTCTGATAATGAAGAATAGTGTTCATAATCAAACTTGCACGCGTTTCTTTTGAACTCAACTGCAAGGAAACAACACGAGGCAAAGAGCAGATCCCAGGTGGCGCATAACGCTGCCACTCCACTGAAATCTGCCGATGACTTATGGTAGCTAAGATCTCACAGAAGCTCGGCTATTGGAAACCATTCTTTATAACCAGCTTTCATTTTAATTCATTTGGTTTTTTTCCACCACATTATTGTTTGTGTGTTATGTCTTATTTATGTCATTGCATTTGCTTTGCAACCTCAATTTACCTTAAAGCCCATTTGTGCATATGACACATGCTTTAATTGCATGAACACGTGCACTACCTCGTTTCACAGGGCGCTTACCTCCTCCAGTGCACAAGACAGTTTGCACTCGGGGGATAAATCAGGCTTGTCCAGCAAATGAGAGGAAGGATGGAGAATACAGCATAATGTCATGTTTGAGACGGCTGTGAGAGATCTGGGTACGCTGAATTCTCTGGCTGCTTCTCCCACAGATATTTTAGCCAAACTTCTCATATGCGGTTGTTCCTTGAGTGTTGCTCAGGTTTGCTTGGATGACTGGGATTCTGGGGGTCTGAATTTCCAGCAATGATAAGCACCAAGGCCTGTAAATGAGGTTAGTGAGGTCCATCTTTTGAACTCATATTTCTATCAAAGAACAGAACTGGAAAAAGCAGAGCCTAAGGATCGCAGTGAGTGCTCAGAATGTGTGGAGATACCTCTTTTTCTATCAATTTGTAACATGAGGTTAATACTCCTTACTCCATTGGTTTTCCCAGAGTTCTGCAGATGAGTTCCTTGTTTGAGGAGCACAGGCTCATACATCACAAGAGTGAAAGAAAGAACACGAAATAGGTGGATAGTTTTGTCTCCAGGTCAGGGTTTGAAGTGTCACCAAGAAAATAAAGAGAGGCAACAACCAGAACGAGGAGAGCATAAAGCAAACGTGGAGATAGCAGCTCATTTAGTGAGCACAAGCCATCGTGCCCTCCAGGACAGAGAAGACTGTGGCAGAAATAGAGACTCCTTTGTAGTGTTTATTCAGGAGTGGAAGAATTCAGATTGCACAGGCATCATCTGCTCAGGCACCTCCTAACTCCCAAGCACTCAGCTCTGCAGTGCTGGCAGCCTTTTCTCATCACGTTCTGTGAGGGTGATCTCTCCGCTGGATGCGTACTGTGGATTGTCAGCTAGCAGAAAGTAAGTAAGCGCAAATGGGATAGCAAGCTGCTCTAGCTCATGTGCAATCCAAAAGACATCTGCTGCCTTTTTAACACATTCATATATAATGACCCAGGGGAGCCAGATCTGCAGTCAGGACAGACTGACGTTCTGTATCTGTTTTGCTAATTGCTGCTGCCTGGTGAATATGCTTTTGTCCCTCTCTCCAAACCCTTCCATTAGAGGACTGAGAAACTGAAGTCCTGCAGCCGTGCCTCAGAGCCATGTTCGTAGGCTCCCTAAGCCAAACCAAGGCAAAGCTGGGGAAAGACATTTTCAAATTTCAGCTTAGGTACCTGTGGCTCTGTACTGCAAAGGACTAAGATCATGCTGGGTTTTGAAACTCTGTGACTCTCCTATCACAGCACACGTATTTGTGCGACTGAACCTTTGTTTTTTATGTCAGTTACTGTAAGACAAATTCATATTATTATAACAAAGAAGTAATGGCAGATGACATCATTATATTCTCCCCTGTATTCCTCCCCTGAGATTTAGCTCTGGTTTGGTTTGACTTCTCAGTGCAGTGGTCTGTTAAAGAAATTTTGCCAGACTTCATGCTGACCCTACCCCATTTAAACCTCATGGACCATAGCAGCAGCACAGACACCCCTCTCCTTATGCCCAGTTTTCCTCTCTCATGTTATAGGAGAAGGAATTGGATGGACCGCAGGTGTAGTTTAGTGTGGATTTTATTTAGAAATAACCATAGAAGCTTTGTAACTCCATTTCTCTGCTCTGAATTGGGATCAGATATATTTGTGCCATCCCCAATAGAGATTTTATTTTTTAAAAGCACCAAGTCTGACAGGGACTCACAGGCTCCCTAGGAGACCTGCTTCAGTGATTAAGATGCTTATAATTGAAAAGTGTTCCTAATATTTGATCTATATATCCCTTATTAAAGATTAAACCAACATCCTGTCCTACCCCTGATAAACACACAAGAAAATTGATCCTTATCCTCTTTTTAATACTTCATATTCATCTGAAGAGTGTTAAATTGTCCCTTCTCTATCTTCCTTTTTTCTAAGCTGAATAAGTCCCTTTCCTTCAATCTTTTTGAACCCTAGGAAATTTCTTTTGGATTTTCTCTAGTTTGCTTATGTCTTTCTTAGCATGTTCAGTCCATAATCAAAGACAACAACCCCAGCTCAACTAAGGCCAGATAGAGACACCCATCCCTTCCAGTCTCAGTTCACGCCTGATGTGTGAGAAACCAGTTCAGCTCTGCTAGCTAACATTTGAGAGACAGAGAAGAGAAAGGCACTTGATGCATCCTTGTGGAGGGAGAAGTAAAATCCTGCTGTGTTTTCCTAACCCCACCTTGCTGGGAGCAATGTTTTGGGGGACTTAGGTGGAGGATATAGATGAAAGACTGCATCACAGCTCCAGCACCAAAGAGATGGGAAACTAAAGGCTATGTTGGAATCCCAGTGGGAACTGATGGCAAAGCAGCCACGGCCTTTCAGTCACACTGATCCAAGCAGCGACAACAGCCCCATGATGGAATGATCAGCACAGTGTCTGGAGCAATAGCTGGATCAAACCAAAAATACACTGACATCGCTGAGAAGGTATATATATGGGTTGGGGGTTAATGAGAGAAGGAAGAAAGGATTCCCCTTGGGAATATAAGGATTGTGGTCTGTTACCATCTGCTTATAGCAAGACACTTCTTCATTCTTCATTCATTCATGTCATTTTCATTCATTCATTCATTGCATTTTCATTCATTCATTCATTTAAATGACTGTATGATAAATAAAGAGATAAAAGTACCGTGCCAAGAAAACAGTGTTTCTAACATGTTTCTGTGGATTAGCTACCTCATTTTTTTAACATCCTTGGAGCCGAAGGGCTCTGGCTGCCTAGAGGGAACTGAGCTTTTCACCGTGAGGCCATGACACATCTAGGCAGGAGGCAGATTCCCTCTGGCAGAAGGTAGCAGTTCAACCAGTGAACTTGAATCGCTGCAGCTGGGGGCTGGCATTCTCTGTGTGGTTGCACTTTTGTGCACGGACTCTTGTCCAGACATTTTTTAACAAGATATTTTGTTTATGTGTTCTTTGTTGCTCCATGTTAATTGCTGTTATCCTGGAATGGGAGCTGACCACTTACTTAGGGGGCTCACTACCAGGACTGCTGTAACAAGACAGTCAAAGAATACATTACAGTTCATATCTAGCTGGTGATGGGAGCAATTAAATGGCTTAGGAGCTGCTTCCTTTTCAGTTCTAGATTTACAGACTTACTACATGTATTTCCTTCTGTATTCCGCTGTTGTTCTGGCTCAGAGGTGGCCCCAGAGACCACGGTCAGGAATAAAGATTGGGTGCCATCCAGGCAAGCTGGACTCCAGCCAGCAGTATGTTCTCACTATGGCTCTCCCAGAAATTTAGTTACGCCTGGGTCTATGTTTCTCATCAAGAAGTAGATCACTAAATCCATAGCCAAAACCAGAAGGAGCACAGGATATCAAAGATGAACGGAGATAACCTGGCACAGAAGGCAGATCCCTGCGCAGAAAGCTTCCAGGCTAACAAATGAGCTCAGATGGGGATCTGCACAGCTTATGACAATGGCTAACACAGCATCAGGCCACACAGTTGTATTCATTCACCTGCATAACCTGACAGTTTTCTGTGGCAGGACCGAATGCGTCAGAGAGTGTGCAGGTTGCTGGAGGCATCTCTGCCGCGCGTCCCGCAGCCACTCTGCTGCTGGAGATGTCTTTTGTGTCTGGCAATCGGTGAGATAAGAGCTTTGGTTTTAGCAATATTATTCTCCAAATGCTTTCAGAATGCACAAAAAGGCCCAAATAAAGAGGCTCAAAGCTCTTTCCTGTGCATGATTCCACAGGTAGATTACAGAGCTCTGTATGCAGATTGATTATCACTGTCTTGGATGATCCATTGGGAAAGAAGGCACAAACAGCTTAAATGATGTACTCAAAGCCACAGAGTTACTGGAGGAGACTGGAATAAAACACAAGTCCCCAGCCTGTGTGGAGGACAGCTGCTGCTCGGGCACAAAGCATTTCCACAACTTTAAATAAGAAGTAGTTTATTTATGTTGACACATAAAGATCAGAAGCGTTCCTACAGCAGAGAAGTGGTAGAGAAAGTGGTGCAATGTTTGCATGCTGTCAACATTACATCCTCAGATTTAGTACCAGCAAGCTCTGCTGAAGCAGTTGTTTCTGTCCTCTCTGTGCTATAATGGTGACTTATTACTTTCGTCCACTATCTGCCGCCAGCATCGAAGCTCTTGCCAAGGCGTGCGGCACAGTTATGTGTGCACAATCTGCTTTAAGCCTTAGCTGCCTCTGTGGGCAATGCATGCGGACCACTGTCCATGTGCAAAGCCACTGCGTTCTCATTTTTGCTGCTCTTAAATAATGTACCATTTTTCCACGTGCTTTAACAGGGAAATGGAATAATGAGGATAAGAAATGGAAGGAAATAATATCCTTTTCTGTTACTGTGGTGCGCTTGTAATGAGGAGGGATCAGACTTCTTTCACTCAAGCAGCATGGAGATTTACTTCAGAATCTGCATTTACATCAGTGCCCGGATGTGTCACAATGCCCTTAGAGACTATGATGGGAAAAATGATACAGAAACCTACGTGGAAAAGACCTGACAAGAACAGAAACTGATAACATAGAATCAAGGAAACTCCAAGTTCTGATATGACAACCATAGCAGAGAGAAGGACAGCAAAGGTGGAAGGTACAAATGCGTAGGAGAGCAAACAGCAATAATATTTAATGTACTTGAAATAAATCTGCTTTTAAATCCTTTCACAAATTAAACAGGTGAGAATGCTGAAAAAAAAAATTGGTCAGATCATCTTTTATTAATCAGGTTCCATTCAACATTCCTGGCCTTTTTAATGTGATAACTTCAAAATCCAGCTAAGCCTCCTGATTGTTTATGCAAATATTGACTCTTCAGTAATGTGTGGACCCACTTTCTTTACTACAAATTCAAGGGACAAGAACACAAGATCGTATTATTTTTTTCTCTCTGTCCTGAGATAACAACTGTCTTTGATTACCTTTTCAGTGCTGAGAGAGTTCAGTCATTCTTTATTCTCATTGAGAAGGACAGGCTGCCAAGTTTTTCTGTATTGAAATCACAGGAAAGTACGAAAGACTCTTGTCTAGATGGATTAGAGAAACCTGATTTGTCCTTAATTACTGGCCTTAACTCCAGGAGCTGGCTATTGTTTGGCATTTCTGGTTATTTTAATCTCCTTCTGAAAGGCTCTACTAGCTGTGTTCATGAAACTTCATCAGATGACTCACCATTTTGTTCCTGTGAGTCATTCAATCAGGTAAAATCAGGAACAAAATAGTTGCTATTTCACGTTAGACTATATGTTCATGCAACAAGGTCTAGTGCTGGTGGTAATTACCATCTGATGCTTATGGAGAAGGTTTAAATGCTGTTTCACAACTCAAGCATGAGCTGACTCCCAGATCACTGAATGGGAGTTGTTTGGCTTTTCCTTATTTAAATCAACAACATATTTTCCATCATGCCTTCAATATACCTACCTTACCGTGCATTTGGGATTGTAAAAGCTTTTTAGATTATCGCAAGCCTGAGTTTAAGAACCGCCAACACTGGAATATTGAAGGAAAACTCTTATGAATGCAGAGTCACCTTACAGAGAAATAACTTTTTAAAAATCACAGAGTCTTGGCATGTGCCAACTAATTTCACATTGTCTCTTTAAGTAGCTCAAGAACATCAAGAGACCTGAAACAAATTAACTGTTTCCTGGGGAAAAACCATCTGAATACTGTCAGGAGAATTTTATATCCAGTAATCCAATGTCTACTGATAGTCAACTGTTGTGTGGTGTTCACATGCAATACGCAATGTGTTACCGTGAAGGTGAAAAGGAATTTCTGTTTTATATCACCTGTGTTAATACTGTGGGTCACTTGAATTTAAGCTGTGAAGCTCTCCTGGAATCCTGAAGTGCTTACTTGGTGATTTGGCCATTTTAGCGAAAGGCCATGTCTGGTTCTCTTTTGGAGAAAAACAGGCAGACAGCTGACACACCTAGACACCTGTGCTCTCCATCATGACTCTAAAAACTATCAATTACCAGAAGTGTGATATTCAGCCCAGCCTTTAATTTATAGGCTCTGCAGCTCTCCAGATGTGCCACACCGGCAATCCAGTTGCTGCTGAAGAGGGAGGGAGGCATTTCAAATGGTGCAAGCTGCTGCAGCAAATCAGGATTCCTGTTTTCCTTCTCTTCTGTTACTGAATGAATGTCTCAATATCACACCAATAAACCCATCACCAGTCCTCCAACTGCAAGGTCACTGGTCTTCTTTAAGTAATGATTAGAAGGCGACGCTTCTGACCTGTACAATAATGAACATTTGCATTGCATAGGAGGTTATTCTAAACCCGTCTGTATCTACAGGGAACGTATGGGCCTTCATTTCCTGCCTGTGAAATGGAAACTTCTTTTAAAATTTTGTTAGGGCAGGAGGCTGTGAGACTGTGGGTGGTATGACCTAAAGCCACAACTGCACTTCATCGACCAGAGAATTCCTCTCCAATATTTATTAAGTGCCCCTGTACACTAGCACCAGCTTCTTGTTTCTAAAAAATGCCAAAGTTTCATATGCAAACCCCGAAGGTCAGGGTCTCCAAAGACACACATATATGTTTTTCCCTTGAGCACGGTTAATATTTGGACACCAGAAAACAATCACTCACCATCTTGATGGTTACCTGAATCGGCTGGAGACTTGCTCCGGCGCATGGGGGCTGGACTCTTTGCTGAGCTCTTCTGAGGGGTGGGAGACGATTTACTGCCCGTGGCAGCCGCAGGGCTCCCTTTCATCACCCGGCACTCTAGGGAAACAGACAGCAACCCTGGTTATGTCCCTACCTATTCTTGCTACCTATAGACACCAGGTATAAAACACCCATGGGCAGCTTAGGGCTTTGTCTCTAAAAAGCTGTAGAAAACATCAACAGCAAGGGAAAAGCTGATACCATCAAATCTCCTTTCTGCTCTGGAGACTTTTTAGGAGGAGGGCAAAAAGAACGGCTTTGCTCCTCTGGAGGAGGTGCTGAGACAGTGTACATCGAGATCAGGCTGGCTCCCTAGCAGGGCCCATCTCTGTACCTGCGTCCTACCGAAGATTTTCCGCCCTTCCCATTGCTTTGGTTCTCACCAACTAGTAAGCACAATGAAAATGGTCAACACTGACTTGAGGGAAGAATCCAAGGCCAAAAATCCAGTTAATGTGCTGTAACCCTTCCACGAAGACCTAATAGTAGGAATGACGAGTATGATTTATGCAGGTGCAGAAAGCCAGCAAACAGCTCATGGCATGATGTAAAGGTCTCTAAGTGGCAGATGGGACATCTGCTCCAGGAGGCTTTCACCCAGCCTGAATCAGCCTTGCCATGGTTTCAACAAGCTGCAACTTTTCAGATGCAGAAAGAAAAGAGGACAAAATGATTTTACAAAACACATCCTCTGTCCTGGCCACTCATCCCTTTCAGAAAGGTTTGTATAAACAAGTCTAGTAGATTTATGTACTTAAAGACATGAGCAGATGATAACCCCAACTGTGTTTTCTTAAAAAATAAATAGGCCAGGAAGAGTGGAAAATGTAAACATGATCTACAGTGTCCTGCAGAAGGGAACTGAAATGCTAACAAACCTCTGTGTGTCCCAGGATTTCAGGCATGCCAGATCTTCAAAACCAGGGTTTATTTACATTCAGAGCTAACAGAAAAAGCACTTTCGACCCCTCAAGTTATCAACTTAACCCAGTTAAGTAGAAGGCAATAAAAAGGAGATTTCCTTTTTGTCAAATGCTCACTGGTCTCACCTCATCTCCTACAACAGATTGTCCTCACCAAGATCTCACCAAAACAGGTCTTTTTTTACAGATTTGCACTAGATGTTCCACATACAAACAGGTTTTTTTACAGAGAAGTTCAGCTCAGCATGCATGGGCTGGACTGAGCACTCCATTGACTGGATTCCGTAATGGGAATCAGCTAAGGCAGCACACAGTGGATAAATAATTGGTCAACCGAAAACAAGTTGTCTGACCTAAATGTATGTGTTATTTATTTATATATCAGTATATCTATGAAAATGTAATTGCCTTAAATTTTTCCCCAGGCTTTCCTCATTCTCAGACAGTCAAGAGTCAGTATCTTCTTCTTCCAGATGGTTTGCGAGAGAGTTTGCTGCTGGGTCATGCAGTGCAAGAACATGAAGAGAGGATGTCCTGTGCTCCAGGGATACTGCACGGTGATAATTAAACCTACAATGAGTTTATTCTCTCTCCTGCTAAATGGATTTTTGAAACTGTAAATCAGGGATAGAAAAAGTTGGATGGCTTTTTTCAGAGGTACTTGACTTCTCACAGGTGATGCCACAGAAAGGCTTCTAGGGCTCCAGCACTGATATAGTCCCAATTTTTTATACATGAAGAGCAGTAATGACTGGAGGGAAGAGGTGTGGAAGGTAGATTATCCCTCCTCGATACTAAAGAGTATAATGTTTGATGAGACACTGTGAAATAGCCACTAGGGAGAGTGTGCAAATAACTGCTCCTGGTGTTAACCAGCCAAGCCAAAACACGAGGAAATATTATCCTCAGTCACTGCAGAAGTAATATTTTTCAAGGCTCTTACATATAGCAGTTTAACAAAAACAGTGCAAAATTTTGATCTTAGAGCACAATTCATTTGCCCAGCCACAGACACCAAATGCTATGTGAGACACACTAGAGCACAGCCTCTCTGGAGCAGAGTGGGTCTCCTGGTGCCCCTGCGTGATGTTGGTCAGCCATATATCATGTGGGTATCGCAGAAACCAAGGGGGTCTCAAAGGGCGTCAGACATCTGTGTCTAGTCACCTGAATTAGTCCCTAAAAAAATAAACCTAAAAGGTGAAAATACTTTACATTGCATTTTTTCAAGAGCTTTCGAATTTATTTTCTTTCCAGGGGAGTAATTCCTTGAAAAGAAACTCAGCTTTGCATTTTCCAGCACAGCAAGGCTGACTCTGAGGAATCCCTCCAGCTTAGCCGTTGGCAAGTGTCAGGACACCAAAGGCCATCACTGAGCATTTGCACATCTTGAAGCAAGGCTGTAAAGGTGCTGAAGTTAGTGTAAACAGGCCTCTAAACATCACAGAGGGCTGAGGCTGAAACCAGTGGGTATGAACGAGGCAGAGCAATGTCATCTAGAAGGTGCCCAGCAACCGGGATTACAGGGCAGGAGCCGCAGTGGGCCATCAGAAGGAAAAAGATGACATAATCCTCTCTTACGCTATTTCTCATTTTGTTTCCTGGTGTCCTGCCAGAGTGAACATAATAACCAGCAATCCAAGTGCATGTCATCCAAACAGGCAAGAAAAAGTACCCCGTGACAGAGGAGATTTTAGTGAGTGACATTCATCTGCAGGACCGCAGGACTCGCAGTTCTCCTTGCAGCATCTGACTCGTAACAAGGAAGGATGATGGGTGTATAATGGGAAAACACTTCTGGCTAATAACTCCTCATCTGCTTCTCGAGAGGTGCAGGGCACCCCTACTCCCCTGAAAATACCACCGAGAGCTGCAGCTGCTCCGTGCCTGCCCAACAGCAGGATTGGCTTATTTTTGTTAGAGAAATCCAAGCTGGAAAAATCAGTAGTAACCAGGAGTGTAGGCAGAGAGCTGGGCTTCCCATCAAGTTGTTCTGCTAGGATTGCGTCCAAACTGTTTTACAGTGTGGAACTCCCCATGGAGCTGACTCAACTGCCAAGTGTTAAAAAACATGTGAAGCTCAGGTTACAGATCACTTTCCTGGCGAGACACAAGCGTTATTCTCTGCCTGCAAAGTTTCAGCTGAACCTCAGAAACTTGCTTTGAGTTATCCAAGACCATCAGATGGGTTCATCTGGAGTACACGGGTCAGAATTACCAGCATCAAATAAAATCAGGCTTGCAAAGGAGTCATAAAAATACAGTGTTTGAAGATTAGAGGGTGCTTGACTTCCTGGTATACAGCAAAAGTCTGCTTTGGTCTTCAATGCCAAGCCAGTTTGTAGCATATAAGACAGCATGGGGCTCCTGTTCCTTATACAGGATACTTAGAGCTCTGGGAAATGAGCCTGAATGCTTGGAGACCACATTTTCTTCTAAGTTAAATGGCCAAAGTTACAGTATTTTACTCTTGCTGCGCTCACTGGCACCAGCAGACAGCCTGCACTGCTGGTGTGTACAGTTGCCAGGTGGGGTAGGTGGTAACTCCTACAAGCAAGCTCTGTATGTTCTGTGAAATCAAAGATTTCATGGCTTAATTGATCAGAGACTCAACATTATTAAAGATCTGTGCTTGCAGTTGTAACAAGGACAAATAATGGTGCTGTCGCAGTCCCCCCCTAAAAAGGGAATTATTACCCTGCTTTTTGAATCAGTAGAAGAAAGCAGTGGAGGGAGGGAGTTTTCTTTTAACTGTGCTTGTTCCCATTTTTTAAGTCAGACGCATACGTAAGGACAAAAGTCTTTCTACTGTTTAATTCTTAAGAAAAATGTATCTATCTGACTGCAACTGGATAAAATTGAAAGGATATACACTACTAGACTTTGCAGTAAATGTCAAATGGTGTAGGAGTCCATCTATTCTGACTTGGGCTACCTCAGTCAGTATTTGCCCAATTATAATATCTGCTGATTGTACAAGTATCACAAAAAGATGTAAAATTCCATGTACTAGGTCTTAAAAAACAGAACAAAAGCATGCAGAATTATTATCTGATACAAGCAACTGAATGGAAATCAAATAAAAACACAGACTGGAGACCACTGTGTGTCTGATGTTACCGCTTTCATCCAGAGAAAAGTCGTCCTGTGCATAGCGGAATTTTTCTGGACCACAGGCGATAAACACATCATCATCCCCAAAGAAATCGTGGAGACAGGTCACCTACAGAGAGAGCAAAGTCATTCATTTTAGTTTTAATTGGCAACATTCTGATGTGGCTTAGTTTTAATTTAAACAGGAGTGAGCTGCCTCTCCGCTGTTCCCCCCATCCCATGCTAATTCATCCCTACTTCCCGTAAGCCTGGTGCACAACACACAACTTCTCTGGACAAGTCAAGCGTAAAAGTGTAATTAAAAAAAAAGAGAAAAAACAAATCCCAACTACCTTGCAAATGTTACGTGGTGTGGCATTTCCAATCCATTCAGGAGCTGAACGAATACGTTGGTGACCTTAATGACTGACACAGAGTTGGTAGGCAAGGCTGTGACACCACTGCCCATGCTGATCAGTATCTTGGTACCACCAGAGCCTATAAACTGCAGGTACTTGGGGGCAGGCGACCTTAGTACCACCTGCCTTCCCCTCTGCCACTTGCGCAGGCTGGCCAGCAAAGCTGGGAGCACTGCGGTGCATCCTTCGTATCAGCCAGGACAGTGACCGGTCAGCATCCACTCTTCCAGGTGCTGCGGTGTGAATAATTAGCCATTGGGACCTTTACACAGTTACAGTTGTGGTAATTTACAGTTACCAGTCAAATATGATGTGAATCACATAGGAACTCATGATGAAGTTAATCCAAATCATCGAAGCGCAACAACTAGTGGAAGATGTGCACATCATTGCTCTTTGGGGAGATCCATAAGCACACAGACTTGTTATCAGCATCTGGTAGCAAACTGCCTTTTATTCAGGCTCGTGGCAAGCTGATAGGCACACTTCTGAGGCAAAGAAAGATGATGCTCTTCCACCTTCAGAAAGTGCTTAGAAAACCAACATGAAGTGGAAAGTAAAACTGTTATTTTTGACGAGGAGAAAAACACTACTGAGGAAATGCTGGAAGGCCCGCCTTCAGAACCTTGGTGTAGCTACTCAAGAGGCAAGTGTTCAGCACACACCTGCCTCCAAGGGCAAGAGAGACAACAAGGAACCTCTGCCCACTTGACTTTGTCCGGATCTTCAGCCTGAGCTCCTGACGTCCCAGCCATATACTGACTAAGTGCTGTGTCAGGAGGAGAAAGAGTGCTCGCCTGCCAACACACGGGAGTGGAACATCTCCAGCACCAGCCAGCCTGCTGCAGCCCACCAGCCACACGTCTGAGCACCTGGGTGAGCCCAGGGCAAACATGGGGTTTTTTTTAAAGTTCCATTTTTTCAGGAGACCATTCCAAGCGACTGCAAGATTGGCACTGATGTTTATCACGGTGGTATCAGGCTGACAGCTGATGCCCAGTGTCTCGGTGTGTCTGGGCACCAGGGCCTTCACAGAGGGCAGACGCATTGCAAGGGACTGGAGAGAGCACTGGAGGTAACTGTGGGGGAAGTTACTGTAGACAGAGCTGAATTTCCATATCTACTGATCCGTTTGAGCCGGACTCTGAAAAGTTAATTTCAAGCTCTAATAAATCAACTGTAAAGAAGGCTTTTGGCTATCTTAATAAAGCTCAGTATTTCACACTGGTTAATATAATGTATAATTAAAGCACTGCCTAAGAGTGCCAGCTCTGGTTAAGATGCCAAACATTAGTGAAAAGCTTGCTTTTCACAACAGCATGACTTTCAAAATGGAGCAAGCTGAAATCTGCTATGGCTCTGATCAAAGGTAGAATTTTCTTTGTAGACTTCAGTGAATTCCAGTTTCTGTTTGCCGAAAATTAGGTTGATAATAGTTAACACGTTACCTGTAGAGAATTCTCCCACAGGAAAGATGACATTTCAAACCAGCGCTTGGTTTTACAGTCCTCCCCCTGAGGACGCCTGGCACAGATTCATTTGCAAATAATTGAGTTTGGCTCAAAACACAAGTTCCCATTTGCATGCTAAGTACTACACTTATGCCGTGGAAAAGGCTCACGGGTTGCTTAGCTCGCCCTTCAGCACAGAAGCTACTGCGCAGTTAAGCGTAGTGCAACGCCACATCACAACAGACGGCTTTGCAAATTTCCCAGCCTTTCAGATGAAATCAGAAAGAACCCACAGGTGCGTTTATTGTCTCCAGGTCATATGGCAAAGCGGACATTTTGTCCTTGAACTCCCCACAACCACCACAAGCAAAAAAGAAAGTCCAGGCAACCAAGAAAAGCTTCAGATCAAGGGTCCAAATGCGATGGAAAATACCAGCATGCACAAGGATAGAAACCTGATTCCACATCAAGCAGAGATACTTGCAATTCACTTTGCTACATTCCTGTCCCTTCAGATATTAGGTTATTATGTGTATTTTGTAATTAATTATGAACAGCTGGCTGGATGAGTACTGGAGGCTGGTGAAGAAATTAGATAATCTGCTTGAGTTCCTAATATTCAGGAAATAACAACTTCTATATTTATTTTTTCCCTTGGTTTTCTGCTGTAACTTCCACTATTAAGAATTCACCACAACATGGTAGAAAAGACAGCCAAAAACCAACCCCGCTCTCATTAAATAGTGCAAAACTCAGAAAATAGCAGGTGTCACATATTCTGCAGTTTCAGCTGTGTTGCTTAGGTTCACCATGTGTGTGGTATTTTCTATTTACCTTTTGTTTATTAAACTTTAATCCTTGATTATGACTGTACGTCCCTGAAACATGCCCCACATGTATTGCTGTCTACATAGAGTCGCTGGAGTAAACTTTCTTTGTGCAAACATGAGACTGAAGTGCTGGATCTTACAGCACCAAAGCCAGATTGCCAAAGTGGGGCGCAGAAAAAGAAAGCCACCAGGATGTGGTGGAAATGCCCTGGATGTGCTCATCCCTGAAGGACATGAAGCTAAGGACAGACACAAGCTGGGAAGCAGGACTGTGGGCTGCTCTGCTGGGGTAGCTGGGTTGAGACCTTACTAGCCAGTATGGAACATTTCAGGGTTATTCTTGACAAGCAAAGACAAACTTGTATCACGTATTTATTGTTTTAGGGGTTTTCAGTGACTCCAGAATAACCTGATAAGTCTTCTTACCTTCATTCTTCAAAAGTCTTTTTTCTCATATTTTCCCAGTTAAAAAAAAAAAATCATCCAAGTCTCCCCCCAGACAGTCTGGACTGTTTTGAAAGTGTATGTTCTGCTTAAGCTTACTCTAATCTACTATTCTAATTATATCCAATAATCAGTCTGGAACACCATGAAAACCCTAAAAGAAAGTTCACATCAACAAAAATTTATCCCAGCTGATAACCTGAAAATCACTGTTTTTAAATGCTGCGTTTTGCTCTTAGCTATAAATTTATTAAAGCACAAGACAAAACCAGACAGCAACCTGCTAGTGCAAGGACCTGTGCTGCTACCTGAAAACAGTGATTTTGTTGGCATCTGTTATCATGCACCTTTAGCAATGACACTGGAAATGATCAAATTAGTAAGATTTTGTCTTTTTCCATTTTTAAGTCTACAAGATTTTTTATTTATAATAAAAATTAAACTTGTGTATATAATTAAATAGGATAAATAGCACTGATTTCCAAGATATACGTGCATGCCTTTTTTTAAAGGAGGATAACATTTAATTTGAAATTCAGGATTAAAAAGACAATATTGACTTAAAAAGGATCATACGGCATGAAACATTTTCTCTCCAATTCGTGTAGCTGAAGCAATTCCAATGAAGGAAGTTAAATCTTCACACTCCAGTCGATGAGGCACAAAGTTATTCCTTACAAAGTAATGATTTCCAATAGATTTGATGGTGACATTTTTCTTTCTGTCAAGGTTTGATTTTTTTAAAAAATTTGTAATATATATTATGGGAGAAATAGAAGTTGGTAGAGATTAACAGAGATTTTGGGAGTACAAAACTGTTTGCAATTCCTTAGGTTTTCATTAAGCGTTGGTTTCTTTTCTTGTTAAATTAAATCCTTCTCTGCTTATATTAGAAAAGCCTTCCCTGAGAGGACAATATAGCTAGGATTTCCAAGAAGGGATTTCTGCAGTGACAGTCAATTAGTGTCTGCTGCAGCAATTTTAATTGCAGAAAGCAAAGATATGGCCTTCTGAGAGATGCTGAGCCTTCCTGTTGATTTTAATACACTAGTTGTAGAACTAAGCATTTTTCAGGATTTTGAAAAAATGGAGCTTGCCTCAACCAGCTCTCTGGATGTGAGCTCACAGTTTGCTGAAACATCGGTGATGCTCTGAGCTCACCTGGAAAAGGAGCAGTAAATATGCAGGACATATACCTGTACAGCTGTGAATAACTGGCTATTTCTACCCTCCTCCATGAGGCAGCAGCAGTATACAGGAATTGGAATTCATTAATAAATGAAATAACTAAAAATAATTAGAAATGAAAGCCTGAAGGCTTCAGCCTTAGTTTGAACCGCTGGCCAGTGCAGATCCTCCTGTGCTTTAAAACGGTGTTGTGATTAACCGGCTCCTTTTGTTCCCGTTGATGATCTGCAGGACAGCAGAGTTCGCTGTTTCTGCATGGCGAGTGGGTTGCCCTCACTGTCACTCTCTACAGCTACAAGTATGAGTATCATCACAGCAGTGACATCGGCTCCTGCCACATTTCAGTTGCTTTCACTGCTGGATCGAGCTCAGCAGCTCCCACGGCTGCTCCCACGGCTGCTGCATTCGCAGGAGGCCTCTGGTAGCCTGGACTGGCCATCACTGCTTGCCAAGAAGATGACGGAGCACATCTCTGAAGAGCAATACATCACCAGGAGGGTTAACTGAACGGTCTTTTTCACCTTTCTGAGAAATGTCTTTATCAGGGATTCCTATTTTTAGCTGATGGAGCCAGCTGAGCCTGAACAATAAATGATCAGGTACTGTAGCTAGTGATTATTCAGAACAGTGATTTATGTACATAGTCCTGCTTCCAGACATTCCATCTCTTCCTTCTGCCACAGAATGAGGAAGGACCTCTGCCTAAGTGGCCAACAGAGGTCTGGCAAAGGAGATCTGGAATAACTCCACCACAGGTTCGACCTGGGGGCTGAACGTCTTCCGTCTTGGGGACTGTCA